GACGTCCGTAGTAGGTGTAGCTGCCAGGCAGCTATTCAGCCTTAGGCAATGGTTTCTAAGATTAAGAGTTTCCTGTCCCAGTGTCAAAGAGATAAGAGATCACGCAGTATACAAACAAAAGTTAACTCAGGTTTCAGTTTGGCTTCTCAAACGCAAAATTAAAAGTGAAAATGATTCTTACCTGCCCTTTGAAGTGGGAGAATAAACCAGTTATCACCAGAGATGAGTTATGAAAATCTTACCTCTTACATTTTTTCATGGGTGGTAGTGAACTCAGTCACTTTTCTGTGGAGTCTCAGTCATCCCACCAAATTGCCTCCCATTGAGAGCCCCGGAAGAATCTCTCTCACCGTAAGGTCTTTGAGACTTGGGAGTAAAGAAGTGAGTAGTCAGACTAAAATGAAAATAAATTTATTCGTGCACTGCTTGGTTTAGAAGCAGTTTTTTTTTTTTATGGTATAGATTGGGTTTATATAGTTTATTAGTTTCTCTTCGAAGCCTTAGAGTCAACAGCTAATCAGTGCATTCCACAGCAGAATGGAAAAGGGAGAAGCGTGCAAGCCTTGGGGTGTGGGTCAAGTCTGTTCCTGCGGAAAATGGATGTATTTCTCTGTGGTTAGTCTTCCCTTTATGACTGAAAATCTCAAGAGGTAGAGGCTGTTTCCTTCCTCTCAGAAGCCATTTTGTCTCGGGTGCAGATGTTTTCCCAAAACTCAGCGATACATAGGTTCATTTCCCCGCTTCTCCACAGTATGTGCAATGCAGATGTTCTACAACGTGACTGTAGGACTTTTCTCAAAAATAATATGCTAATGAACTCAGCTACACAGGTATAACAACCTAGCAACACATTTGAACTCAACTAAACTGTTCAATGAAAACACTGAATGTCACTTAACTTCCCTGGGCCTCAGTTTCCTTATCTGTAAAATGAGGGGAGTTGGAGTACATGGCCTCTGGGGTCCCTTCCAGCTCGGTTTAGTTTTTTTAAGTATTTTATTTGATCCCCCTGCTAAGAAGGGAGTAATCTCTGTGTCCCTCCAGGCTCTGCAGCTTTTCCTCAAGGATTCAAAGACTTAGAGGGGAGGGGAGAGGCAGGGAAACGCAGAGATGTCTCTTCCGGAAGCACTCCTCTCCTTCCCCCGCCCATCAGTTTAACTGTCCAGAAGAAGCGGTTGCGTTTGTTCCGCCTGGCCCCGCCCCCAGCCTGCGCCCGGAGAGAGCCGACCCGTAGGATTCCAGTCAGAGGCCGCGGGACACGCCCCTCGCCGCACGACCCCGCCCACCATAGGCTCTAGGCCAATGGGGAAGCTAGTATGAGGGGAAAAGGCCGCGCCTCGCTTTCGCGGAGCCCTTGGGCTGGGGGTGCGTCTGTCCGTGGGCCCGAAGCTGTCTCTCCTGGGGGCAGGTGACTAGGAAGGACCGTAACTGGTAGGGTCAGCCGTCGTCGTCCCTGCCTCTGTCCCATCTCACTCCCGGGAGAATGCTACCATCCACCGCTGCCGATTGTTCACAGCTCTTCTCCCCCGAGGCCGGGAAGACGGGAAAAGGGCTGAGGCGGGGGCGGCGGCGGCGCCGGGGATGGACGGCATCCGGGAAGAAGGATGCCGTGAAGTGGAAGAAGAGTATGAGGTTCAGGAGCTGGAGAATCTAGAAAAGGTGACCAGAGGGGTTGATCGGAACGCCTTAGCTGCTCCCCGGTTCCGATTGGGATTTGTCGTGTCCCGACAGCGCGACGGCCGCCTTAGGCTTTGTGAGGCATTAGAGAAGGGACTACAGCTCCTTCAGAGTGGTTTAAAAATTAAAAGGAAAAAAAGTAGAGAGGCAGCATGGTCACCTCCGAGTCAGGAAGACTGGCTCATCCCTCCTCTGACCCTTATGTGACCCTGGGCGAGTCACTCCACCTCCAGGTGCTCCTTGCGGCTCTCTGAGATTCATTTGTTGAAAATGTTACATTGAAAGACAGACTGAATAAAGGGTCTCTCTCTCTCTCTCTCTCTCTCTTTCTCTTTCTCTCTTTCTCTCAATTCCCTATATTTCCACATACACAGCAGCTGTTCTCAGGTAGAAAGATCTATCTGACCCATCAAGGAGTATTCCCTTATTTGTAACATCCAAGATGTCAAGACACTGGACAAACCTAGGCAGCTAAGTGACATAGTGGATGGAGCTCTGGGCCTGGAGTTAGGAAGACCTGAATTCAAAACACTTACTAGTGCATCCTGGACAAGTCACTTAACCTGTCTGCCTCAGTTTCCTCAATTGTAAAATGGGAATAATAATAACACTTAACCTCCTAGGGTTGTTGTAAGGGTCATGTGAGGTAATATTTTTAAAGAGTTTAGCACAGTGCCTTGCATATAGTAAGTGCTTAATAATGCTGGTTTCCTTCCTAATAACAGTCATCTAACTCTGCAGCTGCCTACATGATTTACATGATTCTCTAGGTTGCATCCATAAGGGCAATGTAAACTGGTTTCATGTAAAAGGGACTGCCCTGATTGGCATAGTGAAACTTATACCCAGATAGAGACTATGATGCTAGAAGTTTCTAATACTGATGGCTACATCACAGGATTCTCATTGCTGCTGGTCCCATTTACTATTCTTCTAGCACTTATTTTAATAGAGTTCTTTTTGCTACCATGTTGTAGTTCTCATTGACCTGGGTCTTTAAGGCAACAGTAACCCACAGAGCAATGAAGAGATAGTTACGAGAAGTCAGCAGCATATTACCAACTAAAAATTGTTCAAGATAAGGGACATATATCAAAGACATGTATGACTGGAAAAAGAGGCAGGTTAGTTATGTATGGAGAGTGAGAGATAACACATATGAGAAATAATATAATCTCAAGAGAAAAGACATGAGAAATAACATAATCTCAAGAGACCTAAAAGAAGCCCCCCAGAACACTTGGTGTATACCCAGTGGAGGACTTAGAGAATAACTTAGATTAGAAAGGCATAGGATAAGAAGACATTGATACCACCAGAGGGAGTTACCCACATAACCATACCCACATTGTTATTTCAAAGTCAACCTGGAGGTAAGAGTGGTGGACTATAGACCTCTGTCCCCAAACTTTTTCTGTTCAGTGTTTCTATCAACAGCCTGAATAAAGACTTATCAAATTTCTAGATAACAAAAAGATAAGGAGAATATGCACTTCATCGAATGACAAAATCAAGATTCAAAAAAGTTCTTGATTTGCTGGAATAGTGAATTAAATTTAATAAGGATAAACAGAAAGTTTTGCCCTTAGATTAAGATAATTATACAAATACAGAAAAGGGGCACCTAACAACAAATAATTAATATGAAAAAGAGTTAGGGTTTTTAATTGATGCAGGTTCAATATAAGTTAATAGTTGGCTGTATTAATAGAATGGTTGGAATAGGGAGGTGGTGGTTCCACTGCATCTTGTACCCTTGTGCTGGTCAGACCATATCTAAAATATCATATTTATTTCTGAGTGCCACATTTTAGGAATGACTGGACAAACTGAGACATGTCCAGAGAAAGGTAACCAGTACAGAGAAGGAATTTTCAATATAGGATCACAGATTTAGAGATAAAAGGGACCTTACAGACCAACTAGTTTAAACCCCTCACTTTACAGATGCAGAAGTGAAGGCCCAAATGGAATGAGTGATTTGCCCAGGCACACAGCAATTTGCAGAGGCAGGATCTGAACCCAAGTGCTTTGACTCCAAATCCAGTGCTCTTGGCATTGTACCATGCTGCCTTTATAAGACAAGACTTTAAACTATATCATACGATAATTGGTTGAGTATCTAGTGGGGAAGAAAAGAGAAACTGATTCCTGTCTTCAAGTGTTTGAAGTTTTACCATATCAAATAGGTATTAGACTTACTGAGTTTCATCTTGGAGAGGGAAGCATGGAAATTATGATGAAGATTTTAGTTCAACCAAAAAAAAGGGAAGAATTTTCTAACAGTTCAAGTTGTCTAACAGTGAAATAAGCATGCCTTATGAAGTAATGTGTTCCCATCCCAAGAGGTCACAGGATCAGAGATTCAGAGCTAGAAGAGTTAGAGCTTAGAGATCATCTACTGCAGCCCTTTCACTGTATGTGTAAATGATAAATCCTCCACTCCCACCTTCCCTCCCCACCCCCCCACCACCATGGGGCATTTAGAGAAGGAAACTGAGACCTAGAGAGGTTAAGTGACTTGTCTGTGGTCACAGTAATCATCAGTGGCAGGATTTGAACCCTGGTTTTCTGCTGTAGATCCATCATTCTTTCTACTACACTAGAAGTTAGTTAACCAACTGTCATGAATGATGATTAAAGGAGATTCCTGAAGTAATGGGTAGGTGGTTGTCATGGATGACCTCTGAGGTCCGTTAAGATTTGAGGAAGTATAGAATCTCATGAGGTCTTGTGGGATCAGACAGGAAAGTCTTTAAATTTTGAACCAGGTTACAAATGATATAGATTGTTAGAAGGGAGGGTTGAGGGCACTTAAGATAGAGGAAATGACCTGTGGCAAAAAAGGAAGAGAAAATGAATACTCTGTGTGTGTGTGTGTGTGTGTGTGTGTGTGTGTGTGTGTGTGTGTGT